CTCTGAAGATAGCATAGGCTATGTTTCAGCCACTACATTTCACACTCATGGATCCTCATTCTTCTCAGTAGTGTATTGACCAGATGTGTTGAAATTTCTAATAATGGTTTAATTTAATATTTGCATCATTATGAAAATTATTTTCATTTTCTTCAGCTTTTGCTTCAAAAGTTTCAATATTTTATCATGACTTCTCTGTTTGGCCTGTTCCACATATTCTGTCCTATCCCTCCATACTTTGTTCCTTTATCAGGACTTGGATTGATTGACATTCTTTTTTACTGCACCCCTCCTTCTCCTTGTGTTCATATTATTTGTCTGACCCTCTTTCCTTGCTCAGATGTCCTCTGTGTTATTTTTATTTTCCACCTGGTGACCTTGTTTGATGATATACAACTTCTGTCCTCATTCAATTCCTAGGTTTTTCTCTTTATTTACCTTGTCCTTTATTCCTATTTCTCTCCTTTTTACCTTCCATTCCAGACTCCAAGCCATCTTCTTTTTCTCATTTTTCCTCTATTAGTAAACTCATTTGTCACTCTTCATGCCAATGATTACCACACACATATAATTCTGCAGGTACCTTTCTATCCTCCTGCTGTTGGTCCCACTTTCTGCTGACGGTCATTTTCCATTTCTCCACCTCTATCCCTTTTCAAACTCCTCTTCTCTCAACTTTCTTCCCATTTCTCATTCTCCTCCCTCCAGCCCCATCTATGGTTTTTTCACCCCATCTGCAGTCAGCCACCTTCCTAAATGTCTATCTCAGCCTTTCCTCTTTTTTTCTCTGTCCCAACCCTATTTTGCATCTTCCCATTCCTTGTTTTTTTTTTTCTTCGCCTCAGCACTGGCTCCTCTTATATATTTGTTGGTACTGTGGGGACCTTTGCTTTCCGTATTCATGACATGTGGCTGGCATTCCCTTTCTTTGAACAATTACATCTAGGACATTTCATTTTTACCTCCCTTTCTCCTATTACATAGAATTCTCAGTTGTTGGGGGGGGGCTTGTCTTGGGACCTGGTTCCTTTCTCTCACACATTCACTGTTCAGTACTTTTGAGCATTTCCTTCTTCTCTCTCATCTCAACCGAGATCAGCCTATCTTCTTTGCCTATGAACTATGGCTTACCTGATCCCCAGATTTTACACTTCTTGTTCTCTGTATGAGAGGGTCTTTCCTTTTTGGGGACTCTGGCTTCTCTAGAATTCCTTCATTTGGGGCATGCCCTTATAACTCTCCTACATCAGACCTTACAAACCCTCAGTTTTCTTTCTTGAGGTCATTTGTCCTTTTTGTGAGCCTCTCCTCTAGGAATTGTCAGTGACTGGACCCTGCTCATTCTACTTCCCTTACAACCTCTCATACAAGATCTACCACATCTTCAGTGCTTCTCGCTCAGACTAAGGTACATTTTTTGTGAGGGCAGGTCTTCTGATGTTTGTATGTTGGACTAGTGTCCACCCCCATCAATGTGCTCAATCTTTTCTCTCTTTGCTGGATATGTTCCTATTCCTGCTCCTTCTGGTGATTCACTTGGTCATGTTCTACTGAAACTTTTCCATGGCCTTTTATTTGTTATTGGCTATTATCTGTAAAATTTTGTGCCCTTTTTGATCATTTGCCAAGAGATTCCTACTTGTTGGTGAATCACCTTTCTAGATAAAACTTTATTCTGTCAACAAAGCAGTCTCTGTACTCCCAGACCTTCCTAGGGGTTTACTCTTGATTGGACACTTGCCACCCTTCTCTACTATGGGCTTCTCATTTACAGGAATTTATTCCTCTCCCTTTAGCTCTGGTTGTAATTTTTCTCAAACAGGCCTGGTCTTATATTTTTCTCCATACCTATTCTCATATTCTAAATAATCATACCTGTACAAATATTAATTTTGGAGAAATTTTTCTCCTTGAATGATTTTTTTTGGTGATCAAAAATTGTGAGTTATAAAAAATCAGTGAATTTTGGAATCTATTATTGGGCTAACTGGCATAAATTTTAATGGCATTCAAGTCTATGCTTAGTTCTAAGCCTAAATGTCCCATCTGCACATTGTTGCTTCACTTTCAGTTGATGATATCTGAATGAAACTCTAGGTCTAGCCTATCTAAGTATAAACACCGTGCATAATTGGTGATGATCATGGTCAACTGACTGTTTCAGTTGATCTCTCCAAGTCTTTAGGCTCTCTACTCACAATGCATATTCATTATGCCAAGGTTTACTGAATCATAGGTCAGCCAATCAGGATGGGTACATGTAACTCAATTATGACTACCTCTCTACACTAAATGAATATTTAACTCTTAAGCGTTAGGCCGAAGATTGCCGATTATTGGCCAGCCAATCACCTTGCCTTGGTGCTTTGCCAGTAAACTGATCTTGGTCTATAAAACTTGAACAAAATTTTAATTCAATCATAACTGATAGACATTTCATAAGTATTAGGTTATGTGAAAGTTTTGCCATTGTAAACGAATGCAATGCACTCTGCAAGTAGGGATACTCAAGGAGACTCCCCTAACTAGTATTCCAGACTAAAAATGTCACACACTCTAGGCCCATGCTAATTGTTTGGTTGTTTTTGCAGTGCAACCCATTGGTTTCATTTTCCAGATGGAAGTTACTTACTTTCCTTTTTGGCTTTTCATAATCTGCAGCCCAATGCTGTAAACACAACTAACGATGCCTGATCCTTTCTAACCATAATACGATTAATACAAGTTAGATGACAAGCAGAAACTCTCAGAGCTGTGTTCTAAATATAAAGTACAGTATGATGATGCTGTTTCATCTTCATCAATGTACTGGGACTAATGGCAAAAAAAGCATGTAAAACAAAAGGCCACAGAAGGATTCCTACCTAAGATGGTTAGAGAAATATTTCCTTTCCTTCTGATGAAAGGTTTAGGATAGCTATACAAATGGCAATAAAGTGTTCCAAACAATCTGAAAAGAAAATACGAAAGGATGAAGATGATGACAATGCAGCCAAAAAAACCGAGGTTTAGATTATGTGGTGGTGGCAGGAAGCATAATGCTAAAGAAATAAGAAAAGCAGCATTTGACTAGTTCAGAGATGTGAGGAGTTCTCAAAGGTTGTCTGCCTGTGAATATGTTAAAGGCAAATTGCACAGAACTGTATCAACAATGGCTAGACACCTAAAAAGAACCAACTGATGAAAAGAACAAGTTGCAGTTTTCCCAAAGATGGATCAAAGGGTGGATGAGGGAATATCATGTGAGCTTCAAGAACTCCTACAAAAGATTTTCTCTCACACAGAATGACAGGGTTAAGAGAATTGTGAACTTCTTGAAGAACATTTACAGTATGTCATTTCTTTCTGACTAACTTCAAGAAGGAACCCATAATAATAAATGGAGATCAAATGCCCCTGCATAAGAATGAGTCTTCAAGTTGGAAAACACTAACACTCAGAGTTGAGCCAACATACACCAAAGAGAACTAAATGCTCTCCCATGAGTGAGTTATTGTCTTCACATGGTTCTCTAATGAAATATCTTACACACCATGCCAACACCTGAATTTCTCTTCAAAGGAAAGGGCATTTGAACCAAGTTGAACAGGTAATTATATACAGTGGGCTCTAAAGGATTCATAAAGGCATGGAACAATGCTTGGAACCATCAGCTACCTCAAGAATAGGTTCAACATGTTTTTGTAAAAAGACTTTGCCATATACATCTTGGTTGACTACTCTATCTACCGCACAGAAGTCTGGAAGAAACTCCATAAAAGAGGATCCATCTTTGTTGTCATAGGCAGATGCATCACTGAGAATGTTCATGTGAATGACACTCATGTTCACCATCATTTGAAGGCAAAGTACAGATAGCTGGATAAAGCACTGATATTGGAGCAACTGAGAGAAAAAACAGAATCCCATCACCAACCAGAGATGACATGATCAATATGCTGGTTACAAGCTGAGAAAGCCTGACTCATGACACAACCACTGCCATAAAGAACTTCATTTCAAATACCTTTGATGGAACAGAATATTTTCTTGTCTCTGATAGGCTGTACTCTTTGGTGAGGGACCAAATCAGAGCCTTTCACAGCAAACTTTTGAAGTCAAAGCCACTCACGAGTGTGAAGGAATTAGTAAAGACTATAACTCTACCAAAAGTTAACTAAGATGGAGTGAAGAAATTTCTGAAGATGAAGGGCAAGAGCTGAGGGACTGCAAAGGTGATGAAATTGATGCAACTTATGAAAATGAAGAATTGTCAGACAAAGAGGATGGCATGGAAGAGGCTGCTCCTTTCATCCTTGAAAAGCAACAACTGGGCTTTGTACTACCTGACAACACTAATAATGCATCCATAAATGCAGATGTCTCCTTCTTAAGTGAGATAGAAGAGTTGCTTGAAAAACACAAGTACTCAAAAGTCTTCATTCCTTCAGGTGTCAGTTCCGAGATACTTACTGCAAAGCCAGGAGAAACATCTAGAAAATAATTATTTCTAACACCAACATCTGCAAAGTCTTGGCAGCAGGTCTTCTGAAAATCAATAAATGGAAGACAGCAGTCCAGAGCTGGAAGAGGAGAAAGAAACTGTGTGAAGGAAACATTGCAAACAACCATAATTTCACCACAGGATCCTTTGTCTTTGTGAAGACAGGATGCCATGTTCTACCAGCCAGCATCATCAGTATCAATCCTTTGTCTGTCCGATATTTTGAGTCACTGCCAGGACAAGAAGGATTCTACAAATCCTCTGACAATATTTTCAATGTCCTTCAAAAAGACAATGAGAAAATCCTTGATGATCCAAGCGTTGTGTCTGGCAGATCAAGAAAAATATTCTATAAATTCCATCTGTGAACAATCATGTTATTTACCACTAGAAATATTTGGTTCTTAAGTTTACCTTTCCTTTTGGTAGTGCACACGTGTTGCTTAAAATTCATATCACTTAAGCAGGTATTAACAAACAAATGAATATAATTTATTTCATGCAGCATTCTTATTACCTTTACCTTTGCTCCAGGTTTTGTTTGCCTCTGTAGAATTTGTCACTCTCCTTAGCAGTTACTACTTTACATTTTGTATTGAATTCCTTGTGCCTCCTGTCAAACGAGCCCTCTTTGCTCTAAAATCCAATAACATTTCAACAAATACATTACTTTTATTATAGCATTTTTTGTATTAATATGCAATGTTAAGAGTTAAAAATACATTTTATTGAAGAAGAAACATTTAGTTAAACCTCATTGTTGTACATGGTTACTCCAAATTATATCACATTAATCTGGTAGCAAATAACTTTCCTTCAAAGTTTCCCTGCATTGCAATGACTAGTAAGATCACTCACTCTCCTCTCTGTGTGTCTGTTTGTTTCTGTCTCTCTCTCTTACTCCAATATACTTCATTGCACATCTACTAAAGTACAGTAGATGTTTGTTCAGGATATTTATTTTTTGTTCTCTTTATCTCAGATGATTTTTAGTCCCAATACTTGAGGTTTTTTTTTTTCATTTGCATCATGTTGGTTGTTTTACTTACTAAATTTCATTCAATAATTGTGTCATTTTCTTGTTTGTGACATTTTTGCACCATATCGTACATGCTTGTGTATTTCTTTGTTTGAAAATATATTGCTTGTTGTAATTAAAAAATGGACAAAGACAACAGCAATAAAATTATATTGGTTCATTTAAAATATATTAAGTTTCCAGGGCAGAGTAAAAAGACCAGTGGAAAAGATGAGCTACTGTAAGCAACTCTGAAATTATGAATCTTTTTAATAAAAAACACAAAATTCAATTTCATACTATGATTTCAACCTGTACAATCATTAAGTTTGAAGTCTGAATTTTTCCATCCTGCACTGTTATTTGAAACATGAGAGTACTTTCTTATTTGTCTCATCCTTCTGGACCTCAGATTTACACTCCATCCTTTTCGGGCCCTTTTGTTGGTGCCTCTCAGATCACCTTAGCCTTGATGTGCTCATTCAATGGACCCCCCTTCCTCCCACTCTCTCTCTTGATTTGCACTCTCACACATCCCTTCTTCAATGAAGGTTATCCTCCTTCCACTCTCAAGCGTGGAATTTGACCAGTCTGTCACCCATCAGACCAGACTTTCCACTACTGTGGCATCATTATTGTCATTTTCTCCTCATCCTTCCACTGCATTTTTGTCTATTGCCATGGTGGCAGGTCTTTTTTCATTGGTCCTTCCATCATCCATTTTATCCAAGTCATAATTCTGTGCATTACCTTTCTTCCTCTCTAACCAGCCTGTTGATCTAAGGATTCTCAGCTTCTGCCACTCTTAGTTGTTAGATGGTTCTGTCCATACATTTTTTCTTTTTCCAGTACCAAGATATGTTTCTTATCTAATCCTCTTCATTCTGTTCCACTCCATCACTCTTCTATGTCCCCCTTGCTCTGCTCCTTTGCCTGACTGAGACCTTGTTGGGGTTTAAACTTGATCTTGTGCATGTCCAATTCAAGATATTGCTCTCCTGTCCTTTACTGTCTTTCTATCCTGACTTGTTCCCTCCTACTTATTTCCTACAATTACCATTTTTCTGATGCCTATCCTCTAGATGCTTCTCACACCCTCTTCCACTGCACTTCTCCTTTCCCTTCCCTGGATCAATCCTTTCTTCCTCAGAGTTTGAACACTTAGGATAAACAGTACTTCTATCCAATCTCTGTTCTATAGGACTGTTCAAATCCAGTTCAGCTCCTGCATCTTGTTACACAGTTCTATGTGCCTTATCACTAATCTTATACTTTAAGGGTCCTTGTCTTCTTCTGATCCTATCCTGGCACCCCAATTTTTCATAAATCAAATTCTATCTTTTCCAGGATTGGCCCATCGACTCCTCTACTGAGATGTTCATCTTTGGATTTTTATGCTCACATTCTATTTGTAACCCTTTTCATCCTTTTCCACCTCTTCTTCACCAGCCATTGGACGAGTTTTTCCAGGAGGGCATGTAGACTCTTTTCATACATCACAAACATAAAGTGGCCCAAAGATATAACTAATTATACTGATCCTTTCTATACTTTTATCTGTGTAGTATAGTCTAGGTGAACATTTTCTGGTCCTTTCCACATCATACTGAAAAGAAAAAACATACCCCACTCCCACAGAAGGGATGGGGCCTCTAGAGACTGACAGTAAAGTTAAGGTGAACACAACATATATATATATATATATATATCAGTGATGTGTCACTCACATAACTTAGTCCCACAGCACATATGGTCTAAACTAGCTCCAACCTCACTTTACAAAATGGCTTTTTGACAGCTTGTATGGGAGTACTTGGATGAGAGAAGATGTGGTCTTCCATGGTTGTGGGCCTACAAAGCCCCTTCTATTGGGTCACATCCCATGGGCATCCTTTGGATGCTTTTTGAAGGGAGCTCATCCAGATGATCTTTGCACTGGTCCTTCCCACCATCTCAATGTGGAATTCTAGCTATTCTGGGTAAATACGTAAGTATTCATTTTGGAAGTTAACATTTTCCTTACCTGGAAAATGTACTTCCAATAGATAACTCCTAACACATTCCCACCCATCCTCCCCACTAGTGAAAAATACAAGAGCAGTCATTGAGCAAGGAGGTGTGTTGCACTCCTATTGTGGAGGGTTCTGACATCATCATACAGCAGTGCAAATTAACATCATTACCTGTGCAATTAGGTGTGAGTTTCAACAAGGCTGGTGGCTTTCAAAACTCTTCAGCAAAAAGCAAGAGCTGAAGAAGATAGCTATTCTGTATACAGAGGTATTTGTATCAGGATTACATTGTTTTCTGTACCCAAAATTGTTTATTTTGCCTTCAGTTTGAAACTTTATCACAGTATTCACATCAAAAAGCTTAGTTGAATTTTTAAAGGCTTTCAGCAGATAGAAACCCAGATAAATTATGATATTTATAGGACATTGTTTGCTTTGTGCATGTTATTATTGTGTTCTTAGATGCACTGGTTAACTAAATAATTATTTTGTGTAGTGATACACAATTAGCATAAAAATCTAGGCTCAAGTTTCGTCAACAGAGCAAAAAAAAACATGAAAACCCAGTAAATACTACATTTCTTGTTTTTCTTTGTATTCTTTATTTTTGAATATAAAAGTGAATAAAACGTAACAATTAGAAACTTATTAGGTTAGATAATATCTGATTAGGTAAGATAAAAGAAAATAATAACATTAAAAATTTTCATGAGTTACATGTTCACCAAGCGAGTTACAACTTTTATGGTGGGATAGTTAGTTAGACACAGTTTAAAAGGCAATAAAAGTATAAAATTAAGTATACACATATGTATACTGTTTTGAGCTTTCAGTTATTTAGGATAAACAATTGTAGTTTCCTGTTACAATTTGCATTAATTCTAGAAAGAAAAATGGGTAATCTATATTTATTTCATACTTTTTATGGTGGTTATGAGGTCAGTCAAATAGACTAAATGGGTATAGAATTAGGATAAAGAAAATAACAAATTTGCAGGTAAAAGCAGCACGTCTCTTCTGCTATGCAATCCCAACATGGCCAATTTCGACACCAGAAAAAGTGCAAACTGTCACTTGGAACTTGCAAGAAGGTATCTTTGTTCCAAATCCCATCTGAATTTGTCAAAATATGACCAAATAATTGACCAAAAACCTCCAAAATTATGCTTTTTTGTAAGCTCTGACCCCTTAAAAAACTCAAAATAGGCAAATCCAACTTTTTTTTTACTGTCAATATGTTGAGCATATGCAAATTTGTATTTTTGCCAACTTTCACCTTGATTACTGCACAGAAGCCCAAACTACACATTATTGGGTTGTTTCACCTTTGACCCCATAAAATCCTTTAAAAGATTAAATCAAAAATGAAAATTTTTATTAGGTCATACTGGAACAAGGTATAACCCTACCAAGTTTCAAATCAATCCAATGAGAAATAAAGGAATGGTGATCGATTGGGAAGTGTTTGGAAGAAGAAAGAAAGAAGAAGCAATAGAAAAACAGTACATCTCTCTGAAAAGACATATATTAGTCTTACTGAAAAATAACATTTGACTTTTATTTAGGAGGTTTTAGAGATTAAACAAATAAAATTTCACAGTATTCAGAAAAAGAAAAGTATTTTTAATTTTAATGTGAAAATCACTTTGCACTCAGAGCAGTCAAAACTTTGACTTCATACATTCATTAAGAAATTTTTAGTAAAAATACTTAATTATAAAATCTGACTTCTTTTGTACACAAAAGGTTTGTAATGTTTAGTAAAAGTTTGCCAAATTTCATGAAGATACATTAAGTACTTTTAGAGTTATAGTATGTATACCTTCAAAGTTTCACGATAGTTACAAGGTAGTGTAAAATACACGAGCCCATTGCAAGAGGGTTAAAGCCATCCAAGCAAACAGGAGTTTGGGCTGTATCTACAGAAATACTGAATACAAGTCTAAGAAGTTATATTATTGTACAGGCATTGGTTAGGATATGTTTGGAGTATTGTATTCAGTCTCAGGCTCTCTACCTTGAAACGGCCATTAAAATGTTGGAAAGGATTCATAGGATGGCTACTACGATGATACTCAAGATAGATCACATGAAGATAAAGATCTCTGAAATCTATTCCTGTTCAAAAAAGAAAAGTTAGAAGGGAACTGATTGAGATGTTTACGATTGTTAAGGGAATTGATAGTGTTGATGCATCATTCTTTTTTTCATACTAATAGTGAGAATGGTAAGATTAAGGGCCACAAATATAAAATTTGATAGAGTAGGTGTCATCTTTCAATAAAACAGCTTTATTTTACTTTACTTTTGGTAGACGTAGTTAATTTAACTCTCTTGCTACAAATAATGAGCACATCATGATATTTTAGTTATTTTCAAAATGTAAACTTTTTTATTAATATACGTCAGTTAAATTGGCATCAAAATATAGTTTATAATTAAAATTTTAATATATGACTTCATTTCTTACCATGAAAGAAAATATTTAAAAAAATGCTAAACATCCTTTTTGTGAGTAACATGGCATGTCCTTTTGTCTTATTGATCAGTTAATATTGTATTTCACCTAAAAAACAAGATCTATAATGGTTAATGAATTGGAACAC